GAAATTTAATTCAAAACTAGTCTCACCACACAACTTAGAATCGAACATGGTCAGGAAAGTTTTTAAGAAGACTGGAGGGGTCACATCGGTTCCACTTAAAGCCAAGTTAACCTTAGACAAAACTTTCAAGAGCATGTTGGCTCTTAGTCCATGGGAAACAACTTTAAGAATTAAATTTTCCAAGGGATGAACTAGGTTAAACACACCAAGTTCCAAACTGTACAAGCAATTACAACAAAATTGCTACAATAATTACAAGCAAATAAAACGTGCTTTACATATTGGTGAATAACCACAAATGAACACTCAAGCAAACAATTGCTTCAAATATTTAGTCCAAATTAATCATTTTTCCCATTTCCATAGGTATTCCTGCAATAAAGAGTTAGCAGCAAAATACAACAAAACTTCCCTCAGCTTTTCTTTGCTTTTGGCAAAGTAGTGATTGAAGGGGAGGGTACTAGCAAACAAACTAATAAATAACTGTAAGTAAAGATTAAAACCAACCCTTAAGCTACACATCTAGAATTTAAACTAAAAAAAAAACTGTAAAAAATTAATTACATAACAAGCATGTAATTAATTATATAAGTTACAGACCTAAATTAAATATAATTAAACCATATTTTAAATTGGTAAAGGTTACATATGAACTTATGATACACTAAACATGTAATTAATTGAGGCAAGTTACAAACATTTTATAACTCCTAAATACTTAAATCACATTACTAGGCAAGAATTGCAAATGACATGATTAACATGCAAATAATTCTAGAGAAATTAACATGAATTTAAATATAGGCAAGTTATAAACTTTACAACTCCACACCTAAATTAAAGATTAATAGGTACAAGTTACATGAAAATTTATTACCCAATAAACATACTAGAAATGTAAATTACACTGAAAATTAAACCCGAATGAACATGTAATTTATATTGTAAACTAGAAGCATGTGAACTAGAAGCATGTAAATCTAGAAATACAAGGCATGAACCGGTACACCATAAATTAATAAATTAATTAGAAAATACAGTGAATTAACGTTGCACCAATAGAACTCTTCTTCCCTATTGATAACAGTGGCCTATTCCATGCCATGGGAAGACCAAACAGTAGCATACACAAAATAGCAAAATCAAAAGCTTAACCCTGTGTACATGCATCTAATAAACCAATTAACTCGCTAGTACTACCAGTGGCCAATTACATGCAAAATTATTACACACACCTATGAATCTATTAATCTAATTCTATGATAAACGCCAAATCTATTTTAAGCTTGTTGGGAAAAATTACTCACATTACATAATTTCACATTGCATATCACAAAATTATGAGATGAACAAAAGAAACCTTCAATCCCAGGAAAAATAACATGCTGAATAAAATATAGATAAAATATAAAATGGTTAAAGGAAGCAAACCAAAGCCTGTGTCATACCACATTCTCCTTAAAATAGATTCGCCGCCTCACCGTTGGGTGCTGGAGGTACGACGGCGTCTACTTCCCAGGATACGATGGTTTTTACCAGCTACAACAGAAGCACCTTCTGATTAGCTTAGCGAACGGACAACGGCAGCACTCTCTCTCAGGAAGAAAATTATAGGAGAAGTAGATTGACAGTGTGTGGATGTCAAGGAAAAATTATATATCTCTTTTCAAGTAATAGGGCCTTCTTTTATACACCATGGGGGAGAGGGGAGGAGCCTCTAGCCATCAAGGCTGGCAATTAATGCTAGCAAAACTACCCAATCAATTTTGTAAAACTGATGAGCCTTAAATGTGTGAGCTATATACACATTTATGAGGCAATTTCTTATTTAACTATTTTTCTCCAACAAGTACCACAGTCCTAGGAATTTACGCCTTGCTATGGTAAATTTTCATAGAACATTATGCTTAATTGTGTCCGATTCGTAAATTTGTGCAACAAAAAGGAAAAAAATTAGTTTTTACTATTCATTTCTCTTTCTTTTTTTTTTCATCTTTTATTTTTTCATCTCTCCGTAAATCCTAAAGTTGTGTTTGGATAAAAAATTTAGAGATGTATTTGTAGAGGGAAAAGAAATAGAAAGAGAAAAGTGAAAAAATGTAAGCAAAAATATTTTTTTTGCTCCACAAATCCCTCTTCATCTTCTCTTTATGCTTCATTGAAGCCCTGTACTAATTGGTAAATCAATTGAAGTTACCGGCACTTCATTTTTTTTATTTTTTTTATTTTTATAGATTGAGAAGTAACTAGCACTTTGCTCTTATACACTATCAAAAATTAATGTTTTAGATACCAAAATTTAGGAACAAAATTATTTTTTAGGGACCAAATATTTTGTTGCAAAAAGTGTCGTCATTATATTTTTAGCAATGAAAATTGGACATTATGATGAATTATTATATTTTTGAAAACAAATTTTTTGTCTCAAAAAATAAACCATTTTGAGACCAAATTATTTTGTCCATAAAAGTATATTTATTAATGACATTTTCAAAATTGTGTCTCTAAAAGCCTTATTTTTTACTTTTTGGGATGACCTTTTAGCAACTATCCTCATGACGATAGAAATTGATCCCCAAATGTCTTTTGCGACAAAATTTTTACTTTTAAAGACCAAAAATTTGATCTCTAAAACTCCTATATGTTATAGTGATAGTATTGCGAAAATTAAAAATTAAATTTTGTACCAAAATGGTGAAATATTTACACTAACCATAACTCTTTTTTTTGTTTGATGGCTAGGGGATTTTTTAAAAACAGTCTTAATTTCATCAATAATTTTTAATGACATCAAATAGAAGAATCACATAAATGCACATTTGGTATTCACACAATTGAAACAAGAGAAACCAAATTGGTACACCCCATAATTTGGAACCATAAGTTTATTTAGTCATTGTAACAAATTGGCAATGGTCTAAAACATATATGATTGATACATTTTTACTTTTAATTTTTAATGATGTACACAGATTGGTGAAGTGGGAGAGCTATCAAAGATATTCCAATGGAGGGGGAGGTAGAGAAAGGGTTACCAAATTGGGAGGAATCAGAAAAGGAACATTCGGGATATGAGTTATCTAATGTGCTATTCTATCTCATCAAGTTGGCTGATATTTGCGGTGTTGATCTTGGCCAAGCTGCCTCCAAGAAAATTGTTAAAAATGCCATCATCAAATACCCACCCAAACTCTAAAACACTCCTTCCCTCGTTCAAAAAATGGTTAAAGGATTTTTTTGTGAATTTAAGTGCAAACATGTTCTATTGTCGAACTCTTATGATCGGTTTTGTTTCGCAGAACGAGCACGAGCACGAGCACGAAATGTGCATCTGAATATTTTTATAGGTTCTTTCCTTTGTGCTTATTGTTATATTTCTTCTTTGTTTGATGTAAGTTTTGGGTTAGATGGATTCTTGTAAGTGCCGTTTGGCTTTCCTTAATGAATTTTCTTCAGATAAAAAAAAAAAAAAAGTGCAGTACTTTATAATCTCTGTAGCCAATTTTGATCATTTTAATATTACTAAAAGTAGAATTAATAGAATTATGTTAAATATATAAGAATTATTGGGGTCTTTTGGGAAGCACTAAAAAAGACAACTTTTAGCTTTTTATCTATTTTTGGTCACATCACCTCTCATATTTTTTATCTACAAAAAGAAAAAATAGACTAAAAAAAGTCAAAAAATCAATTTTTTAACATTTTCCAAAACATTCCATCGTAGTTTTTCTAAAGTTGATGATGCAATGCACCCAGATTTACAAGATTTCTCTTACCAATCATATGTGCTATCGCTCGGGCGATTGGTCCCAAAGGGAATGGAGGACAGGATTTCAAAATTTATACCCCCTTAGCTTATGCAATGCAAATCTTCCCTTTTATGTAGCAAGAGAATCCAAATCCTTAAAAAAATAAAAATAAATAAGAAATCGTATGTTCCGTCTGGGGGTGACACGCAGAAGTAGCGGGTACTAGTTTCGAAACAATTAAACGTGACAGTGACTCATTCGATTTCACTAGATATTTAATTTAATTTATCTAATATTCTCTCCATGCATATAAATAGGTTTACATATATAATAAAGGCACTTTTGCAGCTCTCACTTTTATGAATCGATTACAATTCTCTCTCTCTCTCTTGGCATATCCCAATCTCAGGTTCTCAACACTATTGTCACTCCTATCTTAATCTCTAATTTTAAATTTTCTTGATATTGATTTCATATTCTATGTCCTGAAATGTCTTTTTGTTTATCAATGTTAATGTTGATTGATCTGATCTAGTTTGATGTGTGTGTGTATATATACATACAAATTGCTCTTTCTTTTCAAATCTCATCATTAGCACATTGTGATTTGAATTTTTGAACTAATGTGTTTGGTGTTGGGTTGAATTATCTAAAAAAATATGATCAAACTGCTATCTCTTACCATTCTTGTGTAATTTGTTTGTTGATTGCATGTGTTATTATTGCCTTGGGAATTTAAGCTATAGTTTACAACAATAATGAATCTTTTTTTTGGGTTTATTCTACATTTTTTTTTTCTTTCTATTTTAAATCATTATCGGAATTTATGTATTCCGATACTGACGTCATGACTTGTAGTGATGGCAAGTGCCGTCCACCCCAGCATCATGGCGTGGTTCGAGTCACGAGAATAAACCTCTCTACGAGAAATTAGTGGGAAGGTTGCCCACCTACTGCTTCTCCCTAATCCTTACATTGTTTTTTATCACAAAGGTAAATAAATTTAATTTCAGCCTCTGTCACATTGTTATTTGAACTTAGAGGATAATTAAGCCATCATTTATTTGGTTTTTTAGATATACCAAGTAGTTAATGGAATTTTGTTTCTTCTACTATTATTGTTGCTTCTTTTTCAGTATACAAATTTAAAGCATGATAGCAAAAGAAATCAAGAAGTTATCCAATTTTGTTCCGTCTCCAAACCTAAAACATTTATATGTTAAATATCCGAATGATGTAGTAAACCTTGAAAATGGCGGGAACTGTGTTTACCCTCGCTTTGGAGGAAATGAAGAATGTCAAGTCTGACAGAGGAGAACTGTTGACAAAGCCTTTCTTGGATGTCTGCAAACACATATTGCCTATTCTTGGTATGCTTTTCAGTGTTCTTGTAAGTTATTTTCACTGATTTGTCGGTGTATCTTATTCTTGTATGTTCTTTTCCTATCGTTTAGATAGCTTTCTTTTCTTTTGTTTTCAATTATCTTCCCATGGATCAGTTTCATAGAATTGCAATGCTGATAAAGTTCCAAATTATTACCATTTTAATTTGGGGTCATAGTCTAGTGTGGAAAGTATCGTCTCAATAGAAGACAACTCTTATCAGAAAATGTTGAATCTGCTTTATTTTTCGACATGGACAAAGACATTTTAAGTTTTAATCAAAGCAACCACTCACGTTGTAGGCTAATTGGTTCTCAGTTGGTTTCTAAGCCTTGATGACTGTTGCTAAAGTTTGTGTGTTTGTTTTGCCTAACAACAAAAACAAAAATAGTTTTGAAATAAAGCATTCTACTGCATTTTCAAATGCAAATATTTTTCAGCTGAGAAACATCATACAAAATTAACCCAATGTTCTTCCCTCTTATGTTTTGCTGTTGGAGTCATATATGTCTAAAAAATTTCTGTTAGTCCTTTTTTTTAAGGCAATCCATTGAACACTCTCTCTATTGCTGATGTCAGACAAATTTGGAGCTGCTATGACGATTGTGAAATCTGATATTGGTGGCAATATATCAGTAAGTTATTTTTTACTTTCATTTTCACATTAATGCTTGCTTACTTCAGATGAAATATTTATCCCTTCAATAAGAAAATTAACACCACACCACACTACGCACTTATCATAAAAAGTATGAAAAAAAAATTAAAAAAAATGCCATACTACGAAAATTTATGATCAGTAGAAGATGGTAAATGCTGAGGTTGCAAGCTTTACTTCTGCTACTGCTGCTGTAATATTTTAAAGCATTATAGTAACAGCCTAACAGGCAAATTTTCACATATCATCCTTCAAAAATGTCATAAAGGCCTAAAAAGCGGTTACTCTAGGACTTTAGAGACTATATCGTACTTTGGTAATTGTGTTCTAGAGTTGTTTCTGCACACTGGAAAGAAAAAATAGTTAAAAAAAACTAGAGCCTAGAGATTCTTTTGAATTGTTCTTTATTACTATCTTGAAGTCTAATACTGACTAGGTATTTGTTGAGCTCAATTTAGAAGCTTTTGGATTGTGGTTTGTATCTTTTGTTTGATATACCCTGACATCAAAGTTACATAAATTCCTGATATTGTATTTTTTATATGGAATTTGGTAATTGTTCAATGTTGGTTTTTAATTACAGAGGTTGGAATCTAGATACTCATCCAACACAACCAAATTCAACTATTTATTCGGGTTTGTACAAGCAGAAGTTGAAACAAAAACAGCAAAATCATCATCAAGTTGTTCGAATGCTCTTCTTTGGTTGACAAGGTACCTTGTACATGATATTTTTTTGTTCAAAAAAGAAAAAAAGAAAAAGGTACATGATATTTTTACGTATTTACAGGTTTGATCTATCACTATTTATCATTTATATTTTGTTCCATGTGAGTAGGGCTGCAAATGAACCGAGTTGTTCATAAACAAGCTCGGCTCTGTTCGTTTAGTAAACAAGCCGAGCTTGAGCTCGAATATTAGGCTCGTTTAGTAAACAAGCCGAGCTCGAGCTCGCATAAGTTCGGCTCATCAAGCTCAACTCGTTTATCTTTATTTAAATTATATAATAAATATATTATTTATATATATATAAATATATATAAATAATAGTATAAATACATTATTTATATAAATATTTTTATTTAAACAATATAATAATATGGAAAAAAAAAATTATCGAGCCGAGCCAAGCTTGAGTTTCATTAATATTAACGAGCCGAGCACGTTTATTCGAACTCAATAAACGAGCTCGATAAGTAAACGAGCAGAGCTCAAGCTCAGCTTGGCTCGGTTCGTTTGCAGCCCTACATGTGAGCATGCACATATGCAGCTAGATAAGCTAGAGTAAGTGAACCTTTCACAAGGAAGGCTGCTGCTAACATTGTTATCAGCAAGAGGGGTGGGCACGCAGAATGTGTGTGCGCCTTCCCTTATGGGATTTTGTCCATATTAAGTGTAGTTAGTTTTAAAATTTGAAATACTTTTAAGTGGCTGTTGGTATCAGCTTTTGTAATCTGTGCCAAGTGGCATCATACATTTCTTTTATTGAGAGACACACATTGCCCTTAAAAGACAAATCAAACAGATTTAGAAGTCATCATGTAAATCTGTCTTGGATGACTTCTTGAATAAATTAAGCTTTTAGTAATAAAGGAATGCTGATTACTTTCCAAATGAATTTTTCCAAATATTAGATTCCTCAAATGTATGATATCGTGACGATGATTCTACAGAGCAATGGATTTCTTGGTGGAGCTATTTCGGAACCTACATGACCATGAAGATTGGACAATGGCACAAGCTTGTACCGATTCCTATGGCAAGACTTTGAAGAAATGGCATGGCTGGCTTGCTAGTTCAAGTTTTACTGTAATGTTTCTGATGACTAGACATCTTTGCAATCATCTCTTGTACTATCAAAACAATAGTTCTGCTCTTAAATTAGTAAAACATGCATTCTCCTAAGTAAAGCATTTGACTCAGTTGAAATGGAATCGCAGATTGCTATGAAGCTTGTTCCAGATAGGAAGAAGTTCATAGAGGTGATAGGTGGCACTGGGGATATCCATGCTGACATGGAAAAATTTTGCACAATATTTTCGCCGATTCTTAAAGAGATCCACAAATTTTTGGTAAGGCTTGTGCTGTTGTGAGGCAGACTCTTGCTTTAAATTAACTTTAGAAGTCCTCAGGAGACCTAGAAATTGGCCATATTATTGACTGAAAAGATATAGCTAATAGCTGATATTGCAAATTTATACATCTACTACTTTTTTTAACTTCAGAAATTAGTGCTAATTTGCGTAATGTTAATATCTTTAAATTCAATATTCTTTCTTCCCAAGTAAAAAGCTAAAATAGCAAGTAACTTGCTTTGTGACCGAGTTTGAGTCTCTTCTATAAATTATAGTTCTCATTGATTAACACACATTCTCTTGGTGCAGGCTAGCGTTGGTTTGGATAGCTTAAAATCTTCATGATGGAACTTGTAAGGGGTCCCCATGCTTTTGTTCACCTGTTTTTTGGCTTCTTTGCAGAACTATCTACTATCTTTCACTCTGCTATGTGTGTGTGTGTGCTTGTTTTTCTTCTTTTTTTTCAGTTACTGACTTCCAAATCTTTAGATAGCGCATATTCTCGGTAATTTCCATTGTTACTACTAATTACTTATCTGTCAAAATTTTTTGATTCAAATAGTTGTTCTTTTACGTCATCTGTTCTTCGCTACTGTATAGCTTCTTGTTATATATGGTTTTGTACCAAGTTGATCCATCCCAGCGGGGCATAGCAAGCCGTCTAGTTTGGATCTTAATTAATTTTGTTAATCTGACAAGGAATGACCCTACTTCTCGAAGGCACAGGAGGGGTTAAGGGATTGAATTATCACTGTTTGTTTGTTTAATGTCCCAACATTTTCATTGGTGAATTTGATCTAAAATCTACAAGCAAATGATGAAACAAGACAAATGTTCAATACCAGCGCTCTGTTTGCTTTGGTGATTTTTTTTTTTTTCATTTTGTAGTTTTTGACATTTGGTGTAAAGGAAAACATTTTTCATAGTCATTAGAAATGCTTTCAACTTTTTAAAAGAAAAACGTTTTCTCAACCAGACATCACCGCTATTGTCATCACCACCACCAATAGTTCAGCACCACCGTATCCCCATCACCTCTTACAGCCACCACTACTGCTATTACCACAATTAAGAGCATAGATATGGACTACGTTGTTTGTTAACCTTAACTAATTTGACCTTTGTATATACCTTTGGTTGGACACCAATTTGTCCTTAGAAATTAAAGCAATGACATTACTAATACAGATTTAATTTCATTGACATGATTATCAGATTTGTTAAGCAAATTGTCATTGTTTTGTCATGATGATCAGATTTGTTAAAGAAATGACGTCTAGTGTGTAAATATCCTGTTTACAACAATGTCTGCAAATAAGCTTTAGAAAATTATTATTGGTAGACGCATGGTTTTGTCACCTTACGTGTTTTCATTTATAGTTTTCAAAATTTGTATAAACCAAAAAAAAGAAGATTGAAACAAAAATATTAGCAAATTGACGTCCCTTCATGAAACGTGCCAAGTTTAAATGGCCTCTGAAAAAAGATAAAGAAAAACTAATAAAAGATGACGGATTCGTGATAATTAAGACTTAATGCTTATTTAGTCGAGTTGAGCATTTTTTAAAACATTAAGGAAAAACATTCTCATGTAGTTTTGGTATGCATAAAACCACCATTAGATTCCACATTTATCTCATTTCATGAGATTTAAAATTCATGCTGAAAAACGGTGGTCACTCCAAACAGAGAAATTACCCATACCTCTAAATAGAAAAAAAACAGTTAAAATTCAATCCAAAAATAGCAACTAGGTATGAGGTTTCATTTGCTCTGCACTTTTGGATCCTCCCCTAAAAATCTGGGTAGTTACTGGCTTAAATTGATTTACAACCGAAAGAGAAAACGTGTCGCCATCTTAATAATTGTACCAAACCTGGTCTCTTTAAATAAATAATTTAGACCTCAAATTATACTCTCCCTCTCCTTCACAAAGAAAAACGAAAATTTTCCAGTAAATTTTGAAGCCTTTTTAAGTTTTATTTTTCTTTGATTCAAAATTTTATTGTCAGTTACAATATCCAAAAGGGATGACACCATGTTTGTTCAACCAAGTTACATCGGGCTGGTAGGAGAACTTGATGTGAATTTATCGTTGCGAAAGCCGGGCTCTCCATGGCGTGTTCTTAAAATTTCCTTCTAAAGGTGTGGTTTCTTCATCTATCTTTTTGTTGTTTTGCTTAGGCTTCACATGTTTTGATCCAAAATAGCGTTCTAAGAAATTTCTCTTCTAAATCAGATTCACCAACATTTTTTTGAAGAATTTGATGGTTATTTTTTGTTTGACATTAATATGAAGTCCATCAGTTTGTAGAAAGAAAGAGACATATTTTATTCTCCTCTTTTTTCTCTTATTCTTTTTTATGTTAATAATCATTTATTTTTCTTATCTTATTGTTTGATATGTCAGTCTAGTTGTCAATATTACATTGGAGGTATACAATACTGGTGAAACCATTACACCAATGTTATATTAACAAGTATGACGATAAAATAGTATAAAAATGTGGTAAGTATAGCATTATTCTAGGTACAAACACAAGTCGTAATATATATTTTTTTAATTTAAAAAAAGTACTAGCTAGAAATATGATTGAATGAGAGACATTATTGAAGGGATTCATTAAAAGAAGGAATATTCATTTTGTTTATTACTACCATATTCTTATATTGTGTTAATTAATTAATTATCTAAATAGCCAAGCATTTTGATTCATATTTTCCATTTTTGTCATTCGAAGATCGAAAGCATCGTAGGATCAAACAAAAACAACTCTGAAGTGGAAGGCTTCTTGCTTGAATACCAAGTCCTTCCGCCAAAATGACATCGATGAAAGGCCTCTTAAAAGGATTAAGATACATTTCGCAAATATTTGGTACATTTCATTTCCTTTAGCTCAATATGATTTAAGTTAAAATTCGTTTAGGCTTCGTTTGGTTGCTGAGAAAATTATGGAAAATATAAGGTTGTATTGCATGACTTCATTTTTTTGTGGTTCTTTCAATTACCTACTGAGAGCTTAAAAAGCTTATAGTAGAGGTAAAATATTGAAGAAAGTGTGATAATTTTGCAGATAATGAGAAAGAAGAAGAAATAGAGATTGGGTTCCCTACAGATGTAAAGCATGTTGCACATATTGGAATGGATGGTCCATCTGCAAATACACCAAGCTGGGTAGGTTTTTTTAATTCTTTCTTCTCTTAAAAAAATATTGTTATATTCTCATAAAATTATTTAGAATGAGAAATATACAGTGTAGATATAAACTTGCTTTTGAAGTCACATTTGAAATTAATCTAATCTATAAATTTAGAATGATGTATGATTCTATGCATGGGTACTGCATTTTGTTTCTAATAACTTAAAACAGTAACCACTCCTAACATTTTTTAAATCTGAAAGTCAATAATTAAAAAATAATAATAATAAACTTAAAAGCAAAGCACCCATTCCCCTCAATTTTTATTTTTTTTCAACCGTTTTTGCTTCATCCTAAACAAAAATTATAGCAAACACTCCGACATAAATTTTCAAAATATAAAAGGTTAAGAGTCGTTAAAGCTGCACCAAACCAAGATCAACCACAGCCATTAATCTCTTTCATGTATGTTTTTTAATATATGAATATTTTCTTTAAAAAAAAAAAAATATTTGCAGATGAATGAGTATAAAGGAAATGCTGAAACCAAGGATACGCCTTCAAAATCATCTACCCAAGGTAACCATTTCCTTTCTTTCTTTATCTTGTTCTTTCTTTTTCTTTATTAAAATTTTATAGGTGTTCCTAGACTAGAAGATCATAGATTTTTAAAAATAAAAATAAATAAATAAAATTAAAAAAATCTAGTAAAGAAAAGCAAACAAACAAACAAAAATTCTCAACCTTTTTGACCAAAATTGATGTTTGTCTAGTTTTATCCACATTTTAGTTATTTCTTTATTTATTAAAGACAAAAAAAAAATTAACCAAAATATTTTTTAAAAAATCACTACAGAAAAAAAAAATATGGATTGAAAGCTTAAAAACAAACAGCGTATTACTTGGGTTGGTCTTGAATTTTTGGATGAATTGAGGTTCAAATCACTTTTGTTTTTGTCTTGTAAATTGGATTTGAACCTTCATCTCATTTAACATTTACCACTATGATGGAACCAAATTTTTATTTTTATTTTTGGGAAATTCAAGATCCATTGACCCTAGACGTAACGGGTATTCAAGAGTCATCCGGAGCTCAATTGGACTCCCCGACCCGACATAGCTCCAGCAAGCCAAGGCGGCACAAGAATTCAAGCAGTTCGCTGGGTTCCCCGACCCAGGACTCATCGGGCAGCTCTACCAAGCCTAGGCGGCACAAGAACCATTCAATGGATCTTGATTCAAATCGAGATCCATCTCACCGGTCCAGACGATCCCATAATTTGGATATCGGGTCGGATTCACCCTCTCAAGAGCTGCCGGGTCTCCCTAAACACTCTCGCCGAAAGAAGTCCAAGGAGTCATCGGGTAGCGGGTCAAGTAGATCATCTAGGTCCAAAGGACCTGACACTTTAACCCAAAATTATTCTTACTCGGATCCCGGATCCGGGCACGACTTGAAGAACAATGAGAAGTGCCCAAATTCAGCTTTGAAAGTGTATGAAGATGGGAATGAATGTGATGAGATCTCAAGAGGAATTCGTGCTTTGTAAAGTATAGAGGTTTTGACAATAATTTTTTTTTGTTCCATGATGGTGTAATTTTATAAGATTGATTATTCTAAGTGTCCAGAGGAAGCAATTATTTTGATTATTGTCATGCCCATGTCTTTTTCTATTGCAATTGGTTCATGTCTTTTTCTATTGTGATGGGTTGAAACAGTCAGATCTATCATATTTATAATGGTATTTGAGAAGCAATTTATTTGAAAATTGATTTATTCTAAACTTGAAACAAGCCATACACACACCTGGATTCAAATCCTAAACCTGACATCTGGATTCAAGTTGAAGGAAGCAAAGATCTTCTCCAAAAATTTAAGCTATGATTTCTTCACTTCACGGCGATAATCCTCATGCATCACCACTATTGATTTTCCAGCTAGGCAAACAGGTCAAATTGAGATAAGAACTTGAAAAACAGAGCAACCTACTCTATCCACAATGATACAGAAGAAAGAGAACCAAGGGAAGAAACAAAACCCACAGTTTGCCAATTTGAAGGCACATTCACTCCACTATAAATGATCTATTGCTGAATTTCAAATCTTAAACAGCTATGCCCATCGCCCTATTGACTAGTCAGGTATATACAGTCCACGTCCCACACATATGGGGTAATTACAAGACTCGTGTCCAAAGAGTTGGTAGGTCAAGCACTTTATTGGTTGAATTCATGACCTACGCTTCCTGAAATGCTTATCACTGCTCAATAACTCAACAGTTCTTTCATTGGGAGGATTGTCAAATGGTTGATAATGTTTTACTTTCTCCAGATATTCCTTTGAAGTTTAGCTATGCAAGTATGAACAAGAAAATAATGGACAAAGAATAATATGAAGTAATGCTAAGGACCATCATATTGGAGTTACTTTCTCCATCCTTAAAATATGTCCAAAAGGATGACAGTTAAAGCAGATGATCACAAGATAGATATTGCGGTAAATGTATACTGCAGTTTTTTATATGCAAAATTTCGATAAGAAACCTTCAGTTCAGATAACTTCACCAAACATTAAATACTGAAACACGCTTAAAACACTTCCATAGCGATAGTCAACTCTGTGTTCTGCTCGATAGCATAATCAGCCAGAGAGGAGTGATCCTGCAACGCTAATCCATCGATGGACACTTCCTTCACTGGCTTCTTCAACATTTTCTCTATTAAAGCCTTCAAACCACGAATGGTAGTGGAGCTTTGTAGCCCAAAAAAAAGACCTTCAATATCTGAAACTTTCATCTTCTTGACCCATGTTGTGGGCCAGAAAACCATATGGAGAGTGGAGTGTTTCTGGATGTTGTAGCTAACCAAATCTCGGTCATTCTCGAGTCTTTTTCCAGCAAACACAAGACCCTGGACCTTAACCGGCATGTGCAGCTTATTAAAAATTTTGATCTTCACGCCCTCAACAGTGTCCAGTGGATGCACATCAAGAATTACAGTTTTTCCATTCCAGTCCTTCACAAATATCTGAAAGGCAGAAGGCGACATCTCCAACATGGTGTTCTCTCCGATGTTATAAGAAGCTAAGGTCTTCCCATCCTCAAGTTGCTTTCCCGCATAAATTAGACTTTGATTACTGACCGAGAAACCAACCATACTCCCAACTATTGCCTTGACATCACCAATTGTATACAGGACCTTAACTTCAGGTTTCACTGTCTCTCCAGTCGACATTTTCACAAAAACCGACAATACATCGCTTGGATTAAAGATCAAATAAAGGAGAGAACCCCCCTGTATTTTAAGAGAGGCCAATGTTTTGTTATCTTCAAGTAGCATTCCACTGTAGAAAAGATTGTAACGATCTGATTGGATGCCCTCTTTCGCCAGAACCAAAGATTTGATGTTTTGGATGGTATCACTATTCTTTGCTTCAAGTTCAAATGTTTTCTGATATGATGGAATATGGACATAAAATTTTATTGAATCCAAGTTTTGGAGAACAAGATGGAGAGTGGAGTTTGTCTGAATGCCATAATCAACCAGCTTCTGGTCATCCTTGAGTTGCTTACCAGTGAAAAAGAGCTCCTGCAAATTTTCTGAAATGCCTTCCTTCTCATGTAAGATAGATTTTAGATTTTTAATTGTCTCCGATGTCTTCACCTTCAAGGCAATTGTTTTAATGACCTTCAAGTATATATTCATCTAGAACAAATAGGACACAAAACAAAAGCATTCAGCAGAAGCATAACAAAATCATACTGATATTACTATCAACCAGAAAACCAGGCTTTTATTATGTGAAAGCTGCAAAGAAACATTTTCTTGAGAAGAAAAGTAAAGTGCACATTGAAACAAGGATAAATTACTGAATCTTAGGTCACCATGGCAGACACAGAGTTTAAGTTCACATTATACAAAATGTCTTATAAAACTTACCTAACCTACAACCCAAACACAGCTGCAGTATCTATAGCGCAAAATAGTTTAATACCAATATAGCACAAATATTAATAATACTACTTAGGCAAGCCAGCAAAATTTATGGATACTTTCACTATCAACTTTCAATCACAAACTTTCTAACTTCCTGGTTGCAATAATGTTTGTGACCACCACAAATTCATCAGCAAGATTAAATAGAAAACTAGTTGTTTGCAAAGCATTTTGTTTACTGTATGGCTGCTAGCCAGTGTTTCAGGTGAGGCCCCAGGCCTTCAATAACAATTTTAACTCTGATATCATGTATACTAATGAGTTTGTCACTGCTAATGAAAGGAAAATGAGGTTAAAAAGCATGGACATTTTGTAAGGTGGTGCTGAGTCCATTTCAAATAGGAGTTGATATTGACATTCATTGGACACTTACTGACACATGATGGACATGTATCCAAATGTGTCCTATAACTATTTTATTTTTTTTAGAACCAGACACACTTCATATACATGGCGGGCAAGCGTCCATCACTTATTTAGAAAACATATTGCAAGTTTAAAGAAAATATCTTGGGATAGAATCCAAATAACATGGATTTATACATATTAATCCCTCCACCTATAGGCTTTTTAAACTTAAGATTTCTAACGCCCAAATTTTTCAATATATTTACAAACTGAGCTTTTGAAAACAAATATTAAGAATTTTTGTTCACACTTATATTTCAATATATAGAATGTGACAATGATTTCTTACTATTTTGGTGTAAAATATCTATGTATATGTATGTGTAGACATAAGTATTTATAGCCAAAAAATGAAGAAAATTGCTATTATTTTCATGTATATATGTAAAAGAATATATTTATTTATTGTCCCTAGTGTGTCATGCCCTGATTTTTTTTCCCCCTTTTTAAGTAAAAAAGTGCCTTGTCGATTGCTCAACGAGTTTGTATCATATCTTATCCATGTCGAGTGTCCATGTTTCTTAAAAACCAGGATCCATGTAAATTCATTTTGATGCTTAAGGAATTGTGCATAAAAACAAAGAAATTCTACTTTTCCATAAAACAAGTAAAAGAAATGAAACTCATGCACAATTTTCCAGAGTTAGTTGGATAGTTTTTGTTTTCATGTGAACAAACAAAATAGGAAGCAAAAGATCTCAACCATCCTTCACACATTTTCTTCGTTTCACTTTCACATCAGCTAAACGGAGGCTAAGAGTAATATAGATCTATCATTTCCTTCTAACAACAACATTTCTACATAAAGAAATGACCAACAAAGTAAATGAGTTCAAAAATCTTCACCAAGTAACATATGTATTTGACAAAAAACCACTACATGTATTCACTAATATGCACCCACAGCGTGAGAGTGCACGATTAAGCAGAGTATTTTGTTTCATAACATCCCAAAAGAAAATCAAAAACAAAATCTTAATGATCTCAATTTCCTAATTCTCAGTAACCAAACAAAAACATCAAATTTTTATCAAAAAAACACTTCTATAAAATTTGGCAACAACTTCGTAAACAAAATCTCCGTACCGGAACTGAAATGAAACACTTTCTTTTTTTTTTTCTTTTTTTTTAACAATAAACCCAAATTCATGGGCTTTCCCTATTCTTTTGCCTCGTTTTCTCAACAACCAAACAGAATATAATGATCAGAACAACTACAATAAAAAAAACATAAGGATGAAAGAGATGAGTAAACGGGTAGTGATGACCTCTTCTTCATGAGATTCCATGATTAATGCTTGGAAACCCTAGGCGGTCTGATAATTGATGGGATCAGATGAGAGAAAGAAACCACCAGAGAGACAGAGCGAAGAAGAAGCATAAAACAGAGCGAGGGAGAGATATTCTTACTAACGAAGGAAAGACTAGTGGAATAAATGGGGTCTTACTTGTGGGTCCCACTAATAGAATTTTGGAAAATTATAAATACACTTTAAGATTTGGTTAAAATACAGATTTGTTTAAAATATAGATTGTTTCTCCAGTTTAAAAAATTACAAATATTTTTTTATTAGAATTTTTTATTCAACAGAATTAATTAAAAAAATAAAATTCATAATTATTCTCTCATATACAATAATAAAATTACTTAAATTATTAATTAAAACATATTTTTAACATCATTAAAAATTGTTAATTGACTTGATGATTTATTAATAAAAAAATGCTATTTGTTATGAAATTAAAAACCCTTAGGGGATGAAATTTAATTTTCAAAACTACAGAAAGCGATTCATATTTTAATCAAATCTCAGAGGGTATATTTATAATTTATCCTAACATTTTTGACATCTATTTAAGAATATTTATTTAAATAAGGGTAAATTATGCTGACACCCCTTAAGTTTGGTCTAATTATATTCTACCCCTACCGTTTTTAAAATTATATTTTCACTCTTGTGATTAATAGTTTCATTACACAAACTTGTTACTTATATAAAAAGTAACAACTCTTAATAGGAAAATAGAGAAAATTATATAGAAAAAAATTAAAGAAAAGGAAAGAAAGAAAATTAAGAAAAATAAAACAAAAATAGAGAAAATAAAACAAAAAAAAATAGTGCATGAATTCAATATCTTTATTCTTTCTAAATAATTATAATGACATGGAATCAGTATAATTTTCCAAACCTCATGATATGTATTAAATCCAAACTTCAGAAAGTATAAGTGTAATTTACTCTTTAAATAAATATATTTATTTAGGTGACATTATCTCCCTATTTTTATTTTTATTTTTATTTTACATCTTTTTTAAAAAAATACAATTATTTAAACCCTTCGAAAGAATTCTCAGTGATCAATAATGCACTTCCAAACCAGTCCTCCTCTGGTTTCTCATTAAAAATAGTACTACAATTATAACAACAATGATTCATACCACTAAAAAAAAACTCACTAATAGTACTAATGTATTGGGAATACCAAAAAAAGAAAAGAAAAAGGAGTGGTGATATTAGAACATCACTTTCAGTGCTCTCAACCATTTTTCTACAGATAAATATATTTGTTTATGTCACATTATTTTTCTATTTTTTCTACGCATCTTTTTATAAAAAGTCAAAAAGTATATTTATTTAAATCAAATAAGTATCATCCTCGGATTTTTTTTTTAATTATTATTTGTATGATTTTTTTAATTATTTTTTATTATTATCAAATAAGTGGAATTTTAAAAAAAATAATTATAAATTAATGAAAAATTTTATAATTACAATTTTTTTAGTGAATATGTCAAATTTTTATTTTTATTTTCCAAGATTCTACTAGGGTGTAATTATCCCTTTTTAATATGTATATTTTTTTGACTTCTTGATTGATTGAATACCAGAACTTTAAAGTTAGCAAAAAAACAAAAGTAAAAAACAAAATAAAAATGTTGGTGAAAGGCCTGTTTGTTTTAGGGAAATTTGGCTATAAACTCCCCTTATCTTTCTTTTATTGTTAAAAAGACTAAGAAAAAAATTATACTTTTAAAACCCCCTCATAATTATAAAGTCTTATATAAAGGACAAAATTTATTATTTAAATATTTTATCAGACTATTATACCTTCAATTAAATCTTCCCTAATCACAATCTCAATCTCTCAAGTTTCGTCTGATACAACTATTGCATATACATAGATGATGACTCCATGGCTAGGGTTTCAAAGGAGATATGGTCGGAGTGACCAAATCTGGTAGCAAATGCCTCCATAGAAACAATAAGAAGATCAAAATAGCAAAAGTTCATCCTCAATCAATGGCTTCGTTGTTTGCACCTAAGGAATAAGCTCTTTGTCTCAAGATCTAAATAAGCGCTTTGGAGATTTGAAAGCTAGGGTTTCGGAGCAGATGGGGAGATTCGGAGTGTGGTGGAGATGGCTCAATTGAAAGCGGAGAAGAAACATGATGAGGTTGTTGATGAGATGCTTGCGATGTTGAATGCGAAGGCTGAAGCTTCGAGATTGAAAGAAGTTGAACAGGAGGTTGGGAAGGATGTGGATGAGGAACAGTAAAATATATGTATATATATATATTTGTGTGTATGAGTGTTGTTGAACACATGTATTATTTTCATTGAGATTTGTGATTGTTGATGGAGTTTTAGAAGTGTTTCTTCTCAATTAGAGATGTTGATTTGTTGATTAATTTATTTTGTTTTTGTTTGTTTGTTTATTTTTGATTTATTTTTTTTGTTTTTTATCTAATTTCATTTTGCTCTGTTTTTTTCATTTGACAGAACCAGAGTAAAATTTTACTCTGTATGAAAGTAAAATTTTACACTGTATGAAAGTAAAATTTTACACTCTAAAACTAAAGTAAAATTTTACTCTGTATGAAAGTAAAATTTTACTCTGAAACTAAAGTAAAATTTTACTCTGAAATACATAATGAAGATGGCTTAATAGAAGAGCTGATAGATATAAGGGTAATATAGTAAAAGAAACAAGTTTTAAAATATCAGGGAGTTTTGAAAGTACTTATATAATTCTTGTCCTTTTGAAAGACAAATTTGTTTTACTACCTTTTTTTTTGGATAGCTTTGATTTTTTTTCATGCTTGTTTTTCAACTAACAGTTCGGAGTTAGCTGAATATGTATGATTTTTTTTTTATATCATTATTCAAAAAAATTATAATATCATGATATTTTTATTATATAATAAGGTTACACACATTATATTTTTACATGATATGACATACACAATAATTGTTATAATAGTATTTATATAAGTTTCATTCATATTCATGTTCATATTTATATTCATATTCAATAATTAATAATTATACATTCTAAACAAAAATTGATATAAAAATTTGATAAACATAGAATAGTAGTACACAATTCGAAAAAATAAAATAAAACATTGCTTCGCCCATGAAAGCAGCATCACCTTGCCGCTGTGACATTAAGTATGTTTTTCAGTGGACTCAATGGGAGATTATGATTTGGACCTTGGATCCCTCCTTTCACTGGACGCAAGCAAGCAAGGCGGCCTAACTGGTTGCAAATTGGCAGTTTGGTTGTGGGTACTGTGGCTTCCTTCTCTCTAGGGACTGGAGCTCCAGTTGGGTCCTACATTTGAAAAACAAAAGTGTTTTACATCAGAAACTTGCATCCAAGAAGAAGAAGAAGAAGAAGCAATGGGGCAAGTAAAAGCATGAATCAAACAACAAACCACCATAAGCACAAGAAAAAATAAGTGATTATAGGATAACACATACATACCCCAAGCACAAGAAAAGTGAATGCTTGATTTTCTGCACCAAGGTGGATTTCTATCAGCTTCCGCAGATCAGCAAGGGTTGCATCCTTCACAACCTTTACAGTGGTGATAAACTTCCCAGGATTCTCCTTTGACACCTCCCATTTCACATACACCTCCACCGTATCACCACCATTGCTTTCTTCAAACGGATTGTAGTTCTCCTTCAAATGCGCTGCTATCTCAGAGTCCTGGATTTTGTTCATCCGTGGATCTGTCAGTTTCTGCTTGTTTTCAGCCTTGTCTGATACCAACAAATTTGCCAAGTTCTTGACAACGGAGTCCTCTCCAATTGCCCTCACTGGAGATGAGTGAGAATCAAAACTGTCAAACCTCTTTTTAGCAGGAAATGGAGTTCTATTGTGCTGCTGAGAAAGTTCTCTATAGTTCCCACAAAGTGTGAATATATTTTGGATTCTTACTCGCCTAGAAGACGCTGCATCCTTAGAATTTTCTGGTGTTGGCACATGATTTTGAGGAGATGATGTAAAAGACCTTGAATTGAAATTGAGCGTTGGACTAGAGCCATTAACATTCCTGTTAGAATAAACTGTCTTCTCCTCTATTACCTCTTTCTGCACTTCTGCATCACTTGATTTCTCTTTATCTTCCTCTGCTTCTTCTTCTCCTTCCTCAAATACAGTGCTCAAAGATAGTTTGTTCGTAAATGTTTGGGCAAAGGCATCACAATCTTCATCGTTCACCCTATTTCCATTTGTACAGTCCCAAAGGGCTAAGTTACAATTGTTGCCTATCTTATGATCTCTGTCATCTAAATATTTGACATCGCGGACAAAAGGCTCTTGTTTACCCATATCCAAATCCATCGATTTGGATAAATCCATTGATTTCTCCATCCCCGGATCCTCATCAGCATAAACCTCCAACAGCTTATTCACAAAGCTACTTCCTTCAAACAAGCTAGGCCCATTATCTTCACCATTTCTTTCTCTTGTAAGGCGTAGCTCTAACTCAATTTCCTCCAAACGACGCCTCAGCATTTCAACTTCCTGTTGTTGTTGCAATATCTTTTCTTCCATCTTCCTCCTCTCAAATTCAACAAATTCATTTGCCATTTTCTCACATTCTTGTATTTTCTTCTCTAATTCACATTTCAGCATCTGCGTTCGCTCATTCACCTTCAAGTTAATCTCCTCTTCACTGGTCTCCATTCCCTTCCCTTCCACTAATGCAAGTTTAGCCCTTAGAGCAGAAATTTCTTCTTCTTTCTTCGTAAGTTCTTTGTGGGCTTCATTACGCTCTTTCTCTCTCTTCTTGTTTTCCATTTGTAGCTTGAAAATGAATTGGTCCATAGCTGCAATCCTTGATCCTAAAATAACTGCTGATGAGGAATCTTCAGTGCCATACTTGTCCTTGAGTGGTGTATGAGGACCACGAACAATGCATTTCGCTTTTGCACCATATTCCAAAGTAGAGATTGTCTTGTGCATCTCTTTGGGGTCTGGGCTAGCGCACAATATCATCAAAAATTTTGACTTGTCATCCTCAAATGAATCCTAAATACAAAATGAACAAAAGACTCAGATATCAAAATCGATAAGAGGGGGGGAACTGAACAAGAAAATCATTGAAAATTGTATCAACAATAATGCAAATTTACCTGCAAAAGCATGGTTAACTTGCTGTCTCTGAATGGCACATGAGAGTCACCATTTGCAATGGACTCAACCACCCTCTTCAGTGCTATATTTCCTTGGTTGATCTTTGCTGTCTGCAATCAAGGGAATCACAAAATTGATAATTCTATTGTCAGGAAACAATCAAAAACTAAAATTGGCAGGAAAAAAAATGTTCATAATTTCACAGAAGAATCCTAATTAATTATGTACAAAGTATACCTGCATTTTTGCTTCCAAACCAGTTTGACCAGCTTGCTCAATATTTTCAGAACCGGCCATGTCAACAAGCATAAGCCGACCTCCTACTGTCGGGACGTCAAGAATTATCTGCACAAGTTGAGAGAGAAGTGTAGGTTCAAGTTGAAACAGGACTACACAAAAAAATTAATGGTGTATATCATAGAGGGGGAAAAATATTAATAGAATGAAACCATGCAGTGGCTTCGAGAGCTTTGCTCGTTGCAGAGTGTGCTTTTAACAATCCTTCGCTTCTCTACTTTTTGGATCTCTTTTGATATCTTTGCAGCTTCAGTTCCAGAGATAAAAGTTGCATTCTTTGCCTTCTTTCCCATCACTTCCAGTCTTACCTGCAAACACAAAATAAAGATTTGAAGTTACTAACAAGAGGCCATCTGGCAAAAACAATACCATTTATCATAGAAATTAAACATGAAAGATGAGATAGACATCCTATTAAGAATTTCAAATTTGAAGGTCATTTCCCTTCTGAAATCAATGCCTCAGCAATGCTTCAATAAGCCAACACCCACTTATAGAAAAGTGGCCTCAATTATATCATGTTATTAGCGGAAAACTGAAGTGTTAGTTCAATTGTAGGTTTTGGCAAAAGAAAGACATCCTAAGAAGAATGGGGCCACCAGGTTATAGTCTTGAAGTCTTTTTTCTTGTCAAATTCTACATCATAGAGTAGCCCCAAAATCATCAATTTCTTCTTAGGAGAAAGAGAGCGAGTAGTTTGAGTACAAGGGTGGTAGGCTAACATCATAAGAAAATACAGCTTTGGTTAAAAAATTCAATCCCTTTTTTCTTCAAAATCAAAGTGTTTGTGTATTTGGGGAACTTATCAGTAATGCCACCCCTTTGATGAAAGTATCCTGATTTATGCAATGCTTAAACAAAACAGGACCATAGTGAACCCACTACAAATTTGCATTTGAAAGAAAATCCTATTTTTCTAGGAAAACTGGGAGTACCATATTTCCTGCTGAAGTGTAATGACCAAAAACTAAATATAAAACAAACACTATCCTAACAGTGACTAATGTCCACTTCAATCCAAATTCAAGCAAGGTATGTATACAAGCTCAATTGTACTATCCTCAAAGATATATGTGAACAATTAAAACCCAACAAAAAAAATCATTTATAATTTCAAGAAAAAAGTAGTTTTTTACCTTGGAAGCACTGCCCTTAGACCACCCAATACTTAGTCCTCCACCATTATTAGTTGATAACAGATCATATATCTCTTCATTGTATATCTCCAAGACAGTAACTTGAACAAATGTCCCAACTCCAACATTTTCTTCATCCCCTTCACCCAATATATCTTTCAGAGATCTATACACGATCCCCTGCTGCTTTGCACACCCAAACATGGTGTGACTCTTGCCTGACCCAGTTGGCCCATACATCATCACAGTACATTTAGCCCCCAATTTCACACCATTAATCCTCGACTCCACAAATTTCTTGTAAAACCCATCAAGATCTTCCTCTTCTGACATCGAAATTCCATCGAGGCTAAAATCACGGTACCCAATTTCTGTACGAACCCGGAGAGATTGACGGTCCGGATTGATCTGCAATGCGGATACGGGTTTGTCCTTGCGTTCAGGATAATCGCGTATTCGGCCGATCACTTCCACTGGATGCTCTGCTGGTGGGGTTTCTTTGGCTGTGATGTTTGGATTTGGTGAAGGTTTTGCTGCGTTGAAATTAAGGCGGTGTTTGGATTGGGGTGTCTTTGAATGAGTGAACTGGGTTTGATTTGATTTTGATGAAGGTGTATGAGTCGTTTGATTTGACTTAGCCGAAATTGTAGGCGCCATTGAATGAAAACCCAGCAAAAAATCTTCAAGATTAAAATTTTAGAGTCTTTATTGGAATCTGAGTTGAAGAGAGAGAAGCTGACTTTGAGGTGATGATTATGTGAGAAAAAAAAGCTAGAGATGGAGGAAAGGAAGAAGAGTTCTGAGAATGGAAAGAAACAGAGAAATATTGTTGAAATAAAAAACAAAAAAAAAATTTAAGTTTTAAATTAAATTGTAGCCGTTACGACTTCTAACGTCTACATTCTTCCTGGGCACTGATACGACAATATGCTTCTCAGCGGCGATCTCTCTTTCCTCGTGAAGTAATCGGGTCGTCAACTCTATCATCTTGGGCCGGGGGACGGCCCATCACTACTTGATCCTTCTCAAGGGCTTGGGAGGGAGTTGCCTCAGGGCTATATTGAAACATATTTAAGAATCATTTTTATACAGTATTTCTTTAAAAAAAAAAAAAAATTAATTTTTAACCATCTTCTCAAAATAATTCATACTTATTGCCCATGTCCCCCAAACTTTTTTTTTTATTTTTAAAAAAAGTATTCTATAAATTAAGATGACTTTTCGCAAATTCTATAGGCAAGATTTATTTATAGATAATTTTATCTATCAATATTTTCAAAAAGTCTTTAGGCAAATTAACCATTTTAGGACTTTTTAGTGCACTAAAAACAAATATTAGGCGTATAAATATTTAAATTTATCTCATAACACTGACTCATAATTTATCCTTAAATTTAATGTTAACCTATTCATATTAAAATACTCAAAACAATCCAATAGTTTTCTTTTAATCCCAATTACACCTATTCGTGTTAAAATTCTCACACCAATCCAATAAAAAAAAATTAATCCCAATTACATGGAATCAACTTTTCATTTAATTGAAGATTGGACAAAAAAAAATTGAAATAATTATTTAAATAACTATAAATATAGCCATATATATATACTATTAAAAGTAGTGTTTTTCTCATACTTAGGTGGTATGTTATAAGGACTTACTTTTTTTTCTAAAATAGTCACGTCACCATGTATTTTCTTAATTACATATAGAATTCTACACAAACCCAAACCTAATTTAAATTATATTAACTTTACATATTTTATATGAACTCTATTTGATAAATATTTTTTTTCATATATTTTTCACGATAAATTGAGATTATCTACAAACCCAATATCAATTTCGCATTTTACTTTTTTCTTTAATTCTTTAAAGGGAATCAGGATTTTTTTTAAATGCTAAATTGTTTTTTTTTTCTTCTTATTTTTTCGAAGATTATTCTATACCCAGTAACAATTCTATATTCTTTTATTTTATGGATTTGTAGTTTAAATTTTATAGTAATTCTAAATATGGAATTATATTTCATTTCATACATTATTTTATATAATCACAACTCATAGGAGAAAAAATTTGCAATCAATTCTATATTCTTTTATATTATGGATTTGTAGTTTAAATTTTATAGTAATTCTAAATATGGAATTATATTTCATTTCATACATTATTTTATATAATCACAACTCATAGGAGAAAAAATCTGCAATCAATTCTATATTCTTTTATATTATGGATTTGTAGTTTAAATTTTATAGTAATTCTAAATATGGAATTATATTTCATTTCATACATTATTTTATATAATCACAACTCATAGGAGAAAAAATCTGCATAACAATGATACTCTCGAAGAACATCTAAAGTTTGGATTTACTACTTGAGTGACTTTTTCAATTGTTGAATAATAAGTTCTTTTATGTTTTAACATTATATTACAGATGATTAATCACTTAACACACTGAGATGTATTTATCATTTGAATGTTTTAATTATTTTTGTTGGAGCCATTTACATACAAGTCCCATTTTGTGAACTTATAATCCATTAAGTTCTAGAGAAAATTATTTGCTCCTTCAAGTCCCATTAATTTTTAATAGACCAATTTGCCCCCAACAAACTCTAGGTAAACTGTCTCGATGTCGCCTTTCCTCTCCCTTCCATCCTCAAGTCCTCCATCGATGTCCTCGACGAAGCTCCGTTGTTGGAAATCTAGCTCCGCCACCAGAACCACTGCCTCCTTTCCCTACTCAGATTTGCGGTGTCGTCGTTGTCAATGAAGATGAAGAACTCAAATCCGCGAGTGGCTCACGTGTAAGGTTGAGGTTCTTGGTGATCTGTCTCCAAATAGATCTACCTCTCTCCATCGCCGCCAATCTGCCTCGTCACCACCTGAAATTCAAGGTCTCTGGGAGGGTTGGGTAAAGAATTAGGTGGATCTGCAGTTGTTGCTTACGAGAGTCCACCGGAAGGTGAGGACTCAGAGCCGGCGTCGAAGACTCGTTCGGAAGGCGATAAGTCCATTGATTGTGAGGTCACGATTTTCACTGAGTTCACAGATGCCACTGTCATTAGAGAGAGAGATCTATAGTTTTTTGAAATTGAGATCTATAGTTTTTTGAAATTGAAAACCTTCTCAGTTTATAATATTCTCAATTTTAATCATGAAAAAATTTGAGAAATTTCTCAAAATTGATAATTATAAATTTCTTAGTTTTGATAATATTCTTAGTTCATACTAGAAAAAAAAATTGAAAAATTTCTTAGTTTTGATAATTATAAATTGAGAACATTTTCAGTTTTTGAATTAAAGGGCAAAACGTCTTTTTACCTATAAATGGGACTTATTGGTTCAAAAACTTTTTTACAGGATTTAAGCTACCACCAAATATGTAGATATGACTTTTAGGTAATTAATCCTTCTTTTTTTTTGGTTTAGATGCTTGGTTAGTTGTTGTTGTTGAATTTCTTTTATATAATTGATATTTTAATTTAATTAAGAGCGTTTATTTTATAGTTTTATAATTTAATACATACATATATCATATAAAATCATGGGTAAATTACACTGACACGCCCTGAAATTTCTATTTAATACAAATTTCTCCCCCACATTTGAAAAATTACATTTCCCTGCCTAGAGTTTGTAATCTCATTATAAATTGTCCTGTGAATTGCTGATGCCATACTCTAAAATTTTTTAAATGACTATCTTGCCATTTTATGATATTTTTTGTATACATTTTTATATATGAATATAATTTTTTTTTTATTCCCACCATTATATCTAGATTATATCAATTTAATTTAACTATATTTAAAAAGTATAACATTTGTACAAAAAATTAAAAAAAATAAAAATCCATTGAATACAATAAAATAAGATAATGTATTGAATTTTTTGTATTTTTTATTCATTTGTATTTGGTGGATTAAAAAAAATTACAAAATATTATACTTTTTAAGTATATCTGGATTAGATGTATCTAAAAAATCAAAAATCAAAAATCAAAAAAATTTAGTAAAAATATTTTTAAAACTAAAAAATAAAAAACTTTTTAATTTTTTGTATGAGTTAAAACAAATAAGATGATTGTTATTTTTCTTAAAATGACATGAACAAAATATTTGTATTATTTTATATGCATAAAGGCTAATGGGGCAAATATGTCATTTTAATCTTATAGGGGGATAAGTATAATTTTTCAAATGTGAGGGAGAGATCTGTATTAAACAGAAATCTCAGAGGGTGTCAGTGTGATTTACCTTAAAATCATTGTATGATAATTCAATTACAACATATTTATATTTGATTTTTTTAATAAATTTTATATAATTTATATTTATACATTTTTTCATTTTCCAAATAAATATAAAAGAAAATTAAATAGTTAGAATTACTTTTATTTTATGTTACTCATTCTACTTCTAATTTAACTATTATTTTTAATATCAACATGAGTATTTATTTTATTATTTTATAATTTAATATATATCATATAAAATTATTATATGATAATTATATGTTTATAATACGATAGAACTAAAATTATCAAAATAAAAAAATAATTTAACTAAAATTAATATATATAAGTATTCAAGTAACGATTTTATAAAATAATAATATTATTAAAATAAATAATTAAATCATACTTTAACTTTAAATTAAAATTAAAATTATTATTTTATAACATACATTGTACCATCAAATATTAAAAAAAAACATATATATTGTACGGAGCAACTGCTAATTATTATTAATTTATTATAAAAATAATAAACAACAGTAATATTCAGTATTAATATATTATTGGTGGAGAGAATAGAGATTAAATTATCCTACTTTAATGGTGGCCCAACACATAGAGAAACGAAAGCTAATACTATAATTCGAAAACCTTTGCAGTTTTGTTAGAATATACATAGGAAGCATATTATGTTTTATGGCTTCCTTTGGCAAGTTAGGTTGATTTTTTAATTTTTTAGTTATTTTAGATTCGGTTAAAAAGCTTATTTGGATTAATTTTTTTAATTTGTTTGAAAAAAAGTAAAACAATTATAATTTAGATGAGACATTTTATCTTTTGATTTTTAAATTTATTTTATCTTTTTATAACTAATTTAACCAAAAAAACCAACTCAACCCATGTCTCAAACAACACCTTTGTCACTTCAATTTTGGTTCTTGAATAATTCATCAAATGGGTATTATTGATTGGTGTGTGGGTAAAAATCTGACCACACTGCCCGTTTAGTGATCAGCAGCAAAGCACCGGCAGAATAGATGGCTCCAACAACCTGTAACAGAAAGGAAAAGCTCCGGCGGTGGTTCTTCCACCCGGGGGCACTCCGACGATCAAGTCAGTATGTTTCTCAAGGATAATCAAGTATTAAACTGAATACTCAAGGTATGAATTACATACCTTAGACCCACGGGGGTGCCTCTCTTTTATAATATACTTAATCCAAGTCCAACTAGAAATATGACTTCTGTGTACCCCAATCTTAGTACTTACTCTGGACTCTTTAGGAGATAGAGATAAACTCCCTAAGAGGTTTATCCTTATCTTAATTAAGTCCCCTCTTTGCTTCAGGACTCTTGTCCCTTATCTTCGGATTCCGACATCTTCGGAGATGACCTCGGCTTATCCGAGATTACCTCGGCTTAACTACCAGGGCACGTGGCACCTCGGCTGACACGTCGGCGTCACCATGCCACGTGTTGATATTCAGAAAATATGTCCCCACAATTGGTATGGATTGGTTGTAACTGCTATGAGAAGGGAGGTAGAGACCCGTGAGAAAATAAAATGGTGAAATGTTAATGTCAGATTAGTTAGAGTATCTTCACCGGTACATTAATTTTTTTATTAAATTTAAGTAAAAGTTTCTTTTGATATCAAGTATTTCAA